CAACCCATTCTGTATTTCCTCCACCATCAGCAAGCACCTCTGCATGTCTTGGCTCTTTTCCTGGAGGAGTGACCCATACTTTCATCCCTGAAGGGTCTGGACCATTTGTTGTCCTGTCTGGATTGGGTTGTTGCAGTTTCCCATTGACCTTAATCACAGGACATGGTAACACCAAAAGTCACCCTAAGGAATCACCTGCCTTCCAGATATAATCTTCATTACCTCCATGTGGAGAATGAGTCCAATTTCCCCCTGGTAGTCTGGGTCAATCACCCCTCCTAATGCTGTTATTTCTTTCTTAGCCTGGTGACTTATGGGCATCAGAAGCCCAAAGTGTCCAGGGGGAAGTCTTAACTTCCAGTTCAATGGAATGTTTGTTGTCTCTCCTGGCAGAAGCACTCCCTTCTCTGGAACCAAACCATCCAAGCCAGTAGAATGCAAAGTCGAGGGTACAGGAAGCAAAAATTTTCCTAGTGGGTCACCGGGGTGATAGTGAGTGGAATCATTCCCACTTCTACCCCTTGATTCCTGGACCTGTGAATCCTGGCTATAGGAGAAACTGTACCATATATTGGACGCTGATTCAAAGCATACACTGTCTTCTGGAGGACCATACTCCATCCCTCCAGGCTATTGACACCTAATTGGCACTGTAACTGTGTCTTTAAGAGACCATTCTATGATTCTATCAAGCCAGCTGCTTCAGGATGTTGGGGAACATGGTGAGACCAGTGCATTCCATGACCATTGGCCCACTGGTGCAATTCTTTGGCTGTGAAGTGAGTTCCCTGGTCAGAAGTGATGCTGTGGGGAATACCATGACAGTGGATACAGCATTCTATAAGTCCCTGGATGGTAGTTTTGGCAGAGGTATTACATGCAGGAAAGGCAAATCTATAACCAGAATAAGTTTCTACTCCTGTAAGGACAAAACGCTGTCCCCTCCAAGATGGAAGTGGTCCAATGTAGTCAACCTGCCACTAGGTTGCAGGCTGGTCGCCACGGGGAACAGTGCTGTATGGGGGCTCAGTGTTGGTGTCTGCTGTTGGCAGATCTGGCACTCAGCAGCAGCTGTAGCCAGGTCAGCTTTCGTGAGTGGGAGTCCATGCTGTCGAGCCCATGCACAACCTCCATCTCTGCCACCATGGCCACTTTGTTCATGAGTGCATTGAGCAATGACAGGGATAGCTGAAGAAAGAGGCTGACTAGCCACAGAACGGGTCATCTGATCTACTTAATTATTGAACTCATTTTCTGCTGAAGCCACCTTTTGATGAACATTTACATGAGACACAAGTATGTTCACATCCTTTGCCCATTTAGAGAAATCTATCCACATACTTCTTCCCCAAATGTCTTTCTCACCAATTCTCCTATCATGCTCCTTCCAAGTCCTTGACCAGCCAGCCAAACCATTGGTTACAGCCCATGAATCAGTATATATCACACTTCTGGCCATTTCTCCTTCCAAGCAAAATGCACGACCATGTGCACTGCCCAAAGTTCTGCCCACTGTGAAGACTTACCTTCACCAGTGTCCTTCAGGGTTGTTCCAGAAATTGGTTGTAATGCCCCAGCTGTCCACTTCTGAGTGGTGACTGCACAGCATGCAGAACCATCCGTAAACCAAGCCCTAGCCTTCTCTTCCTCAGTCAACTGATTGTAGGGCACACCCCATGAAGCCATAGGTGCATGCTTGAGAACAGGAGGCATTGTAACAGGAGTAGGAACCATAGGCATTTGAGCAACTTCTTCATGTAACTAGCTTGTGCTCTCCGGGCCTGCTGGGGCCCAATCACATATATACCACTTCCATTTGATAATGGATTGTTGCTGTGAATGGCCTACTTTATGGCTTGGGAGGGGTCAGATAACACCTAGGTCATGATGGGCAGCTCTGGTCTCATGGTGACTTGGTGGCCCATTGTCAAACATTCAGTTTCAACTAAGGCCCAATAGCAGGCTAAGAGCTGTCTCTCAAAGGGAGAATAGTTGTTTTCAGATGAAGGCAAAGCCTAACTCCAAAATCCCAATGGTCTTCACTGTGATTTCCCTATGGGGGCCTGCCAGAAACTCCAAACAGCATCTCTATCTGCCACTGATACCTCAAGCACCATCGGGTCTGCTGGATCATATGGCCTAAGGGGCAGAGCAGCTTGTACAGCAGACTGGACCTGTTGAAGGGCCCTTTCCTATTCCAGGCCCCACTCAACATAGTTGTCTTCCGAGTCACTTGATACATGGGTCGTAGTAACACAGCCAGATGAGGAATGTGCTGGCTCCAGAATCCAAACAGGCCCACTAAGCCTTGTGTGTCTTTCTTGGTGGAGGGAGGGGCCGAGGGCAACAAGTTATTCTTCACCTTAGAAGGAATGTCTCTGCATGCTCCACACCACTGAGCTCCTAGAAATTTCACGGAGGTTGAAGGCCTTGAATTTTGGTTGGATTTATTTCCCATCCTCTCATGCACATATGCTTATCCAACAAGTCCAGACTGTCTGTTACGTCCTGCTCACTGGATCCAGTCAGCATAACATCATCAATATAGTGGACCAGTGTGATACTTTGTGGAAGAGTCAGGTGGTCAGGATCCCTTCAAACCAAGTTATGGCACATAACAGTATTAGGAGGGGTGATTGACCCAGACTACCAGGAGAAATTGTACTGGTTCTCCACAATGGAGGTAATGCAGATTATATCTGGAAGGCAGGAGATTCCTTAGGGCGACTTTTGGTGTTACCATGTCCTGTGATTAAGGTCAATGGGAAACTGCAACAACCCAATCCAGACAGGACAACAAATGGCCCAGACCCTTCAGAGATGAAAGTATGGGTCACTCCTCCAGGGAAAAAGTAAAGGCCTGCAGAGGTGCTTGCTGATGGTGGAGAAAATACAGAATGGGTAGTAGAGGAAGGTAGTTACAAATACCAACTTAGGCCATGTGACTAGTTGCAGAGATGTGGATTGTAGTTGACATGAGTGTTTTTGTCCTATTTGGTTAAGAATAGGCTTGTGCATATATACACATATGTTAAGCAGATACTTGTGTTGTTCTCTTTTGAATGTGTAATTGAGATAAGTGTTAAGTGGTTAAGTGTTGTGAACCTATATGATTATATTGGGTTATGAGACACTAAAGGACTAAGCATTCCTCGAAGACCTTATCACCTACTCTAAGATATATAATGCATTGGTCATTTTATGATGGGATAGTTATATCATGTTAGGTGAAATTATGACCTCAACATTGTTTTCATTTGAAAATTAAGCATGACATAGAGAGATGCTATTGGGTGTCAAGTTGACAAGGGGTGGACTTGTGATAGCTAATCCTGGGTGAATTTGGCTGGATCTGGGATTAACTGAAATGAGAGAGATCTTCTTGATTGGATCATCTGAAGCTGGAAGACACATCCTCAATGTGGGTGTTACTTTCTGATGACAGCCCATATAAAAGGCCATGGTAGAGGAGAGCACTTGCTTTTTGCTGCTTGCCTTCTCTCTCGCTGGTGAGTTCATTTTGCTGCTGTAGACTGAAGACTAGCCGATCTTTTGGAATTCATCAGACCTTCAGCGCCAGATTGGCACTATTGAGACATCCAGCATCGTGGACTGAGCGACTATGGATTCTCAGCCTCTCCAGTGTTGTGCAGCCATTTTTGGACTACTTGGACTCAATTATCCTGTGAGCTAATCTGATAAATCCATATATATTCATTCTACCAGTTCTGTTTCTTTAGAGAACCCTGACTAATACAGGTGGCATAGCTGTTTCAGTGTGGAAGCAGTAGAATCATGGGAACTGGCCCAGTTACCTACAGACTGGCCACTTTTCCTGATCCCACAAAAACCATGCTGGGTCAGAATGGAGGGAGCAACAAGACTGTTCACCAGCTATAAGTTAGCTTAATGTTAAGTACCTACAACTATCCTGTTCACTATGTCATTATATTCACAACCTTTGTCCTAGT